CCCGGTGTTTTGTTTTCTGTGGGAAACAGGTCCAAATGGCTCTTTGAATGTTTAAGGTTGCAGACCCCTGACCTGGGGGAGGCAGAGGAAGGGGGGCTTTGACCACATGCCCAATATCCAGGATCCTGCTCAGCCAAGCCCGCCCCTCTTTGTAGTTGCCTTGCCTGACAGCAAGTTCACAGGGTGCCCCTCCTGCCAGGGATCAACCTCCCAAACTGCCCCCCCTCTCAGGGCACTCACGTCGTAGAGGGCGGTGCTGTTCCCTCGTTCCTGGAGCAGGGCAGGGTTGAGGAAGCCCAGGGCAGGCAGCTTTGCTTTACTTTCCCAAAGTGCCGCCGCTGTCGCGTTCTGTCTGTCTGTCTGTCTATCCATCCAAAAGGTCTGTCTGTCTGCCTGCCTTCCTGCCTACCTGCCTGCCTGCCTGTCTTTCTGTCTACCTACCTACCTACTTACCTACCTACATACCTACCTACCTACCAATATTTACCCACCTACCTACCTACTTATCTACCTACCTACCTACCCATCCATCCATCCAAAAGGTCTGCCTGTCTGTCTTCCTACCTACCTACCTACCAATACCTACCTACCTACCTACCTATCCATACATCCATCCAAAAGGTCTGTCTGTCTTCCTGCCTGCTTGCTTGCTTGCCTGCCTACCTACCTACCCATCTACCAATATATCTATCTACCTACCTACCTACCTGTCTCTCTCTCTGTCTCTCTATCCATCCATCCATCCATCCATCCATCCATGTTCAAAGCGCCGGCCCTGCAGGCACATTGGGAAAGTAGAACAAAGCCAGTCTGGGAGGGGGATATATATATATATATATATATATATATAATACCATATATATATATGGTATTCGGCTTTGTTTGGGTATTTTCCCACTTCATTATAGTTGTGCTTTTAAAGTTGTAGCAACGTTTCGGCAGAATCTCATCTGCCATCATCAGGCTTCTGTATTGTGTTCGTCTGTGAGTCAGACTTTTACAGTTATATATATACAGAGAGAGAGAGAGAGAGAGAGAGAGACAAGACAGACCAAATGCATCAGATTGAAATGAGGTCTAGTTTAGTCTGAGGTCCTTTTCCACATTGAAACATCTTTGCCAGCACATTGAAACATCTTTGGCTTCTATTAAACGTTTTGTGGACGAAACATGGTCAAGACTATCAGGAAGCTCTCACATTTTGTTGAGACTAAATAGGATCCATTGGACCAGATCTTCACCCTAAAAAATTACTTTTCCCCAATGTTTTAAAGTGCCAATTCTGAAGAAGGCAAAACCAAAATGTACTGATAAATTACAAGGAGAACACACACACACACACACTCCCTTCTAATCCTGCTGGAGCAGGTGATTGGACTAGAATAGATATCTCGTTATCTTTCTCCTCCCTCTCTCCTTCTTTATTTCTTTTTCTTTCTGTCCCTTCCATCCCGCCCTCTTTCTTCATCTGTCCCTTTTTCTTTCTTTCCCTTTTCTCGTTCTTTTCTTCCTTCTCTCTTTCTCTCTCTCTTTCTTTTCTCTCTCTCTTTTTCCCTCTCTCAGGCTCACCCCATTGACTTGGTGCACTGCTTCGCTCGGACTTGCTTGGGCAAATCCCTCTGGTGCAGTGGGCTCAATGGGGTGGACCTGCAGGGCTGGCACCTAAAACGCGGCAGTGGTGGCACGTTTGAAAAGTTGAGCAAAGCCAGAGGTCGGTAATTTTTGCTGCAAAGAATCACAAAAGTTTCTGGGTTGTGCACAAGAAGGGACACACATGTCAATGCAATTCAGCAACATAAAATAAAGAAATACAAATAAAACAAATCAACAAGAATCGGCAAAGCATCTCTGATTAGATTTTATTCACTGCTAGAATCTAATCAGAGATGCTTTGCCGATTCTAGTCCAATGACCTACTCCAGTAGGGTTAGAAGGGAGTGTGTCACGTGTATGTGTGTGCATGGCTGTCAAAACTCCAAAAACAGATCAAGTAGCTCTGGGGAGGCCAGTCAGAAATTAGAACACTTGCTAAACAACCCGCCATTAAGTGAGGACCACTTGTATTTGGTTTGCCAGTCACCTGGCCACGCCAACCCAGTCACATGACCACCAAACCACACCTACCCGGTCATGTGACCAGCAAGCTACGCCCAGCCAGCAAGCCACGCCAGTCAGTCACATGACCAGCAAGCCACGCCCTCAAATTAGGCCACGTCCACAGAAATTTAAATCCCACCCCTGGGTGGGGGGCACTGAGGATGAGTTTCTAGCACAAAGGGGGCGGTGGACTGAAAAAGTTTGGGAACCACTGAGTTAAACTAATATCTTGTATTTTCTTTTCTTTAAAATTATTATTTTCAGTTTTGATAAAGTAATATATTTTTATTTCAATTAATATTGCAGTTTTAGAATTCAAGCTTTCATTTTGTGTTAAAACGTTCATATGCCTATAAAATATCAGTTGTCTTTAGTGAGTAAATAATCTTCATGTATACTTTGTATTTGATCAATACAGCAACAAGCTAAGAAATTGATTTTCAAGAAAAATCCCCAATGCACTAATGAAAATGTCCAGTTTTAATTACTTTATTATGAATGTAATTCCAGCACTTCACAGGTAGCATTTTGTTTGCATAAGGGAATTATCTTCTCTTTACAGTTTTGACTGAGTCCAATTATGATGTTGTGATTAAATGAAGCAGTGCTTTTTTAAACAAAAACAAAAAAATAGCAAATAGATTTTATTTGTGGCACTTCACTATTGATCTGTACTTTGCATCTTCTCTCTTTGGGTTTTATTTAAAAAAAACCTGGGAGAGGTAACCAAAAGATAAATGGCAAAAGAAACATATATAGGAAAGTATCTATAAATATCATGATTTTGTTTGTTTTATTTTGTTTGTTTGTTTAATAGGACCTGGTACTTCGCTTAAAATACCTGGAACTGGTCATGGCGCTGGGCCTAGCAAAGCTATCAGGTACTATACTTAGTTTCTTAGTGAGGTTAACTGATTGAGTTATTTTTTCCTTGTACTTAAGTGATAAATCATCACACAGAATTATAACAGAGAAAATAGATGTATTTTATTTCTTATGTTTTGAGACTAGCTGATTTGAGCTTTTTGTAATTGTCATCCTGATGGCAACTACTATTAAGTTCTTTTCATTTGAACTGGTTAAGATAAGCTTTAAGGGCTGGTGTTTTTTTCTTTCTCCCTCTTGAGCCCTTTTCATTTTGCCCTGAATTTTGTGTATTGTAAGCCTGAGAACAGACAGGAGTTATCTAATTATTTATATTTTTAAGTTACTTTAAAAGTCTTCTTGCCAAAGAATGGAATTAAAATTTTAAAAAATAGTCTCTTTAAATACATTTTATAGGAATCATAGCAGTTCTTTATAGCTCCTTTGTGGTTTTTCCTATATATTCAGAAATGCCTGTCAAGTTATAGTCATGGACTGAACTTTGGGTCAAGAAATTACTCAGCTGTGTTTTATTAAATAGACATATAAAATACATTGTTAATTTTTTTTTAACCCCCCCTCCCAAATTACAAGTGTGATATCTAGTTTGAAATCAGTTTTCCAGACTACATTCTATGAAATACCATCAGAAATTTAATAAAGTTCTGTGAAAAAAACCATCATTGATTGCTTTTTGTATTATAAATGGACAACTAGCTGAAGGAGAGATTCAATCTATTTATTAATTTTTTTCTTTAATGTTTTTTCTTGCTCTAATAGGATGCAAACTTAAAATTATTTTTGTTCTCTATAGTGGGACAAAAAGTTCTGGGATATTTTTCTGTCTCATTATGGATGACAAACCCACAATTTTGTTGTAGTCCTTAATGAGATAAGAAGCTACTCAAGGACTAATAGGTGTGCATTTTCTCAATATATTCAAAGCCCAACATGTTCTATAGCCAAATAAGTTTGGGAATACATTACAAGCAGTAAAAATGTGAACAAAAATAGCAATACAGAAAGAGGTATCACATTGTAAAAGATAACATTGATGATCTCCCTCAAAAAAATAAGAATTATGTAAGTGCCATTTACTGGGGTAGTGAGTAAATCCTATAGGAATGTCTGCTTAATAATGAGAAATGTAATATATGATTTCGTGCACAGAAAATGGAATTATATACACATGCATCTATATTAATAGTTTCATATGGCAATCCGTACTTTTTGATTTTGCAGATAGTAATAAGTGCTTCTGTTTTATCATTTTATCATACTCTTCCATGTTTGGATCATTTCAGGCCAGTGACACAAACAGGGCGACCCCTGACAGGTTTTGTACGACCTAGCACACAGGCTGGGAGACCAGGTAGCATTGAACAAGCCTTAAAGACTCCAAGAACTGCTCACACTGCCCGTCCAATGACTAGTGCTTCAGGGAGATATGTCAGGCTTGGAACAGTAAGGATCCTCCTACATTTGTACTCTTGGAAATTGGAACTACATGTATACAGCATAGGAAGATTATTAGGGTTATTTTCCCCTTCATACTTTTTTTTCTTCCTGCTATATTAATAACTTACTAAAACTAATAGCATCTTTGTTTGTTTTCATGATCAGACTTTTGAAAAATATGTGTATTCTATATAATACTAATAGACTTTGCTTATTATTGCTTAAAGATCAAATGTTCCACAAAATACACAAACAGCCATTTATGCACAGTAGTGAGGAAAAAATAAAATGTGGTATTATAATCCTGTAAGCCCCACTGTATTTAGCAATACTTATATCACACATCTTTGATTAATAAATAAATGAACATTCTTTCACGGTTGCCTTTTCTTGAATTTTCAAACAAATTATAGTTGTTTTTTTACAGTTTGGTACCTGCTCTACATGTTACGAATAACAAATGATATGTTCCATATTTTTCTGTGCCCTTTATTATTTCTATTTTATTATCCTCATTATGTTGATTAATACTTGTAATAACTTTTTAAAAAATTAGTAACTTTTCATTCCACCCCAGTGACCTTTATTATTGGGTAGCTTAGACATGTTAACAGTAGAAGGAAAATGTGAAGCGAAATTTTTTTTTTTTCCCAAAAAGGGAGATGCCTATTGATTAAACTTTACTGAGGGTTGTCCGAGTTATATGACTCTGGGTGCGTACTGGAGAGTCAATTTCTTATTAAGCTCCATCGCCGCTGTTGCTTATGAGGAGTGGATAAGAGTCTAGTTGACTCAACTCTAGGAGCAGTGGCAAGAGCTGGGAATTGTGCAAGTGTCACAATTTATTCTCGTGTATTATTTTTTATAAGGACCATATTGGTTTCTCAGAGTTGTATATTTCATTCAAATATGGTCTGTTGTTTAGTTTGATACTTTTTCCCACTATAGGCCTCCATGCTCACAAATCCTGATGGTCCTTTCATCAATGTGTCTCAACTGAATTTAAATAATTATGCTCAAAAACCAAAGTTGGCAAAGGTATGTGCTTGTTTAATATTGATGTGTTCATTTTAAATCCTTGCCTGTTAATTAAAACAGATGTTAATAGCTTTTGTGTTTTTACTTTTTTTTTTCCAAAAGAGAGATGCACAAATTCAGTATAGTGCAATTTCTCAGCCATGATAAAGCAATTATCAGCCCCTGAGTAGAAAGACGCATGCAGCCTGCACTAGGCCTCTCAGGGCCTCTCCTATACTCCTGAGACCCCTGTATTTCTTATCTTACCGCCTTTCCATTCAGGAATGAAATTCCTTCCTGCCAAAATCCAAGCAATATTTTCAGCCCCTGAGTGAGGAAAGACACTTGCATGCATCCTGTGCCAGGTCTCTCAGGGCCTCCCCTACACCCCTGAGACACTCTGTACTTCTTACTTTACTGCCTCTCCATTCAGGGCTGAAAATGCTATTTTGATTTCAATTCCCTGCCATCTCCAGAGGCTGGGTGAAAGAGCTCCCTCCTGAAGGATTTCAGTTCCATGCCTACTTAAAGGATTTCAGCTCTGTCCAAGCAGGCACAAAGGATTTCAGCTCAAACTGGAATGCTTCAGTAGAGAGCTTTCCGCAAAAGGATTTCAGCTGTATGAAAGCAGACATGAAGGATTTCAGTTCCATGAAATCAAGCATGGAGCCGAAATCCTTCTGCAGGGAGCTTTTTTTCAGCCAGCCTCCTAAGATGAGAGTGTATTCTCTTGGCAGGTTGCAATAGCTTGCACCCTTCCCTACCTGTTTTCCCATTGGTTTTCTGGAGAAGCTGGCAGAGAAGATTGTAAATGATGATCACATGATTATGGGGCACTTGGCAAGTTATTGTAAGTGCAAACAGAACAGGTTGCCAAGTACCCAGATTGCAATCATGTGACTGCAAGATGGTGATGTGACCTTTGGCAATGACTGGATGTGCTTTACAGCAGTGATCCCCAACCTTTCTTATGCCGCGGCCCGGTATCCCCAACCTTTTTTATGGCGCGGCCCGGTACCGGCATTAGCTGGGCGCTGCCATCTTTTTTTGATGAAAAAGTGCTTCCGGTGACCTCACCGGAAGCACTTTTTCATCAAAAAAAGATGGCGGCACCCAGCAAACCAGCGGCCCGGTAGGACTTGTTCCACGGACCGGTGGTTGGGGACCCCTGCTTTACAGGGCATAAAACACCCTTTCTTAGGCTGTTGTTAATTTGAACCATTGTACATTGAGGACTATCTGTATTTACAATATGATCAGTTGTTCAAAGCAAAAGTTGATCTTCCAAGATATTTTTTAGAGTTTCCAGTAATGAACACCCCCACTTCTTTTTTGATAAATAAAGTAACAGCAACACATAAAAGATATCCCATTTCCCTGGCTTTCTCCCAGACTTTGGAATAGAATGATGTGTCAGCCTCTATCAACTAATTGGTTGCTTGATTTTGGGATTATATATTGTATTTTCCTTTGGGGTGTTTATATTTTGGTATTTGCACATTTTCCTTTTAATTGTAAACTGCTCCTAGTCATTGGGAATCACATGGTTTATACGTTGTAATTAATTAATTTCAGATGTAAGATTAAGAATTCTTGCCTAATAAGGCAGTAACATTACATAGATTTTTAAAATGTGAATTCTTTATTGCATTCAATATTTTTATTAAATCTTTTAATTTTAAATGAGCTAATAAAATACTTATTTCTAAATGTAAGTAGATCTTATTTGCCTCCAATTTGATGACATATTTTACATTTGTTTTTTCATAGGCTTTGTTTGAATACATTTTTCATCATGAGAATGATGTTAAGAATGTAAGTATGCTTATTTTTAAAAGGTTAATGTTCTTTCTGTTTTTATTTTGAGTGTGACATAAATATGTAAGAGTTGAAGAAAATAGTTCCTTATTTCTTTCATCCAGGATAATGGTTATTGCATTTTCTTACTTCAGAAAAATATACAATGTATTGCTTTTGGTTGAGTTCAATTATTCATGTTAAATAATTTAAACTTAATTTATTTTTCAAATAATTTTGGTTTCCCTAAAAAACAGTGGTCAGTTGAAATCAACAGATGGCTTCTGAAATCAACTGGTTTCTGAAAACAGTTGCCATTAAATCAATGTCAGTTCAGATAAGGAGGGAAAGATACAAAACAATATGAAAAGAAAAAGGAAATAGTATTGGAGTATTTTCATGAACTCTATAAACAAGAAAATATGAGTAAAGAGAGAATTAAGCAGTATTTAGAGGAATAAAATATTCCAATACTATCAGAAGAAGAAAGGGAAAGATTAAATGAAGAGATTACTATAGAGGAAATAAAAGAAGCAATTAGTAAACAAAACAACAACAAAACTCCCAGAACAGATGGTTTACCTGCAGAGTTATATAAAAATTTAGGTGAAATTCTTGACCCAATTCTTTTAGAAATTTATAATGAAATACTTCAAGGGGCAGAGCTACCAAGGTCGTGGAGAGAAGCATACATCATATTAATACCGAAGGAGGGCGCAGATATCACCCACATAAACAACTATAAACCAATTTCTTTGTTGAATGCCGACTACAGAATATTTATGAATTTAATGGCTGAGAGACTAAAAAAAATATTAAGTAGATATATACATACTGATCAAAATGGTTTTCTTCCAACAAGACAACTTAAAAACAATACAAGAACAGTACTAGATATCCTGGAATACTATGAGGCTCATCCAGAAAAATAGGCTACACTTGTTTTTCTGGATGCTCAAAAAGCCCTTGACAAGGTAAATTGGGAATTGGAACAAGTAAAGAAAATGAAATTACACACACTTGAATAGACATATAATTAGATGTTCATTATTAAAGGTGTGGAAAGAAATTAAACACAAACATTATATGAAGATTCCAGGATGGGTTTCTGTCATGGAGGCATTGATCCACCCCAACGCACTAGAAACTGGAAGAAAAATTATGTATTATGATGTACTAAATTCCCAAGGAAGATTAATGATGAATCAAGAAATTAGAGAGCAAGGGATGAAAATAGAATGGTGGCTATATTTACAACTCAAGGCAAGATATAAAAAAGACATGGAAGAGTTTGGAATTGAGATAAAACCGAATCAATTAGATAAAATATTGGAGGGAACAGATGAAAAATTAATCTCAAAAATGTATAACCGCACAGTACAGCTTTATATGTCCATATCATCTGCATATAAGCTTCTGCTAACTCCCTCCTTACTTATTTTTTGTTGAAAATTAATTCTACACTACTGATATTTAATTTCTATATAATTGTTAATAGGAATAATACTGGGAACTAGCATTCATTCTTTACTTTCTGATTCTTAATTGTCTAGAAATAATCTAATTGCTTACATATCTAAATATGACATTGAATACTGGTAGTATATTGATACCTGATGGTATCAATGCTGGTTAAATGCTGGTTAAGTCATTAAAAATCACCTCCCAGCCTTATCAGTATATAAAACACATAAGCAATTATATGTTAGTCCGTCCCTTCTTCCCCAATTCCCATCCAGGATTTTAATCCATGGTATCATTCAGGTTTCTTGATGCTTTTCTCAAAACAATTTATTGTATTAAAAAAAGTGGTTCATTTATCTAAACTGTTGTAAGTTGCTTTTCATTAAGGACATGCTTTATTTATATAAATAGAGGAGGCTATAGTGAATTATGGATGTGATGTGTTCCTTAATGAAAAATTGGAGCAGATGAGGGATTAGGCAAGTATTTATGCCTTTGCACAAAATGCTGAATTTGTAATTAACTACACACAATTTGTAAACCTTTTCAGTATTTAATTATGCATGTACTAAATGGTTGGAATGATCCAATTTAAGAGGAATCCAACCCTAACAGGAATTAATACTAAAAATGAAAAATATTAAATTATATAGGTGGTAGAGCGATTTTAGCAATTTTTTAAATGCCTTGATCAAGAAAGCTGCCAGGTTTGAATAGATTAAAATTATGGCATCAGTAATTCTTTTGCCATTTCAACTCATGAGGCAAATTATAAAAGGGGAAAATCTAGCATATTTATCTGATTTAATCTTATAGTTTTTTTACAACTTGCTAAATATTCATTGTATATGTTTTTTCTCCCAAAATTGAAGATGACCTTTGTAAATTTGCTTCCCTTTCAAGGCTTTAGATTTGGCAGCATATGCTACACAGCATGTCCAATTCAAGGACTGGTGGTGGAAAGTACAAATTGGGAAGTGTTATTACAGGTAAACTAGGAACCGAATTTGTCTACCTTTTTATCCCATCCAATTTTATGTCATATGTGAATTAGATAAATGCTCCCTCCACCATTCATCTAAATAATTAATAAAAGTGTTGAAGAATACAGAATTCAAGATTGAATCCTGTAGTATTCACTTTATATTTTTTCACAGTTGGATGAACAAACATTAATGAGCACTTTTTGAATGGAATGTTCAAGCAAATTTACTAAATTATCATCCACCCAGCCCATACTTTGCTAACTTGCTAATTAGACTGCCCTGGGATACTTAAGGGTACCTCAAGTGATTTGCTGAAGGCGGACTATTCTGTAGTTTACTAAATTCCCACTTTTTAAAAAAACAATGGGAACAATGTTTACTGCCTCAATTGTTTAGCACTTCACCCATTTCATAGGATTTCATAGGATATATAAAGTTCAGCTAAAACACCAGCAAGTTTTTTCAATATGTTATGTTGTAATTTATCTAACCCTGGAATTTTAACTCATCTAAATACATCTGAATACAAATATATTCTCAACTTACAACAGTTCATTTTGTGACCAAAGTTACAACAGCACTGAAAAAAGTAACATGACCTTTTTTCAGAATTATGACCTTTGCAGCATCCCCATGATCATGTGATCAAAATTCAGATACTTAGCAACTGGTTCATATGACCACTGCCGTATCCCAGGGTGATGTGATCAATGTTTGTGACCTTCTAACAAAGAGAATCAGTGGAATTTACTTAACCAGGTTAATAACTTATCAACTGCAGCGATTCCCTTAACAACTGTGACAAGAAAGGTCATAAAATGAGGAAAAACCCACTTAAATGGGTTTAGAAATTTTGGGCTCAATTGCCGTAAGTCAAGGACTACCTTTGTGTGTGTGTGTGTGTGTGTGTAATTATGTAATTAATATATATAAAATTATTATTTGTTTTCTTAAGTTTTCGCGGGTA